TGTTTGCCGGAAGGTGTGTCTAGATTTCTTTTGAGAGTACACAATTTATTGTAAGGAGCTTTTAAGTTTAAATATCATTATGACTTTTTTAGGTTGTCCTTTTTTATATAAATATATGCATCTAAGTATCTCTAAAGAAAAATGCGCCTGAGAACTTCTTCACCAACTCATAGGAGGAGTAATCGACACTTAGAGTTCTACATCATAATTTTATACCTTTAATTCTATACATATAGTCTTTATGAAGATTAACATCGACCAAAAATGACTCTTGTTTGTAAATGAATACGTATTTTATAATTTTAATTATTTAAAATATAATAAATAACATAAAATAGAATAAGATGGCACTACTTCCCTTGTCCTCCTTCAATTTAAAAAGAAAGAAATGAAATTAAAAAAATCACTTGATTTTTTATTTATCAAAAATACAATTTTATATTCTCGAAATATTTTGTAACTTCACATAAGCTTTCTTTTAAATATTTTTCTTAACATTACATTAATGGATGTAATGGTTGCAAGAGATGTATTATGTAATATGTTAAAAGCTAAAAAGTCCTAACAACACTTTTTTCAACACTCAATAATATTCATAATTTTTATTTAGTGAAATTTATGTGAATCTCACCATTTTATATATGATTTATTTTTAAAATAGAAGATTCACATATATTTTACATAATAAAAGAGTGAAGGTTAAAAAGAGAATGTTCAATCCTTATACTTGTTAAAATATACAAATGTGTGACACTCTATGTAGGTAGGAGGTTAGAGGCTTTAAGGATTTTTTTGATGGTTTAGGAAAAACTCATAGTGGTGAGAGACCTGTTTCAAAGGTGTGTTTAGTGTGGAGAGAGAAAGCTCGCATGGATTGAGAATTTCTATATTTCTAGAATATTTTATGTGTGTTTAGAATATCTTCTTGGGGTATTTATATAGGTCTATAGGTATTGATTTCAAGAATCCTAAGAAGTAGTAACTATTTCACCTTGACCAAGGGAGCTGTTTGAATGCGAATTTCTTAGAAAATCATGACTACACTACTACAAAAAGCACCTTTCGTAAAGCCATTTTACCTTGGTCAAAGTATCCACCATGGTAGAGTTTATTCACTTAGACTCTTTCCTTTTATTTAAAATTTTAAGCCACTTTTCACCACTGTTGGAACTTTCAACCGTGGTGAAAAATGGCGCCTAGTCATGAGTTCGAATTCTAGCACCTACAGTTTTATTTTATTTATTTATTTTTAAATCACTTTGTAACTCAGTCGGAACTTTCAACCGTGGTGAAAAGTGGCGCATGGTCAATAGTTCGAATCCTAGAACCTACAGTTCTGTTTTTATTTATTTTTAAGCCATTTTTTACCACGGTTGGAACTTCCAACTGTGGTGAAAAGCCACTCAGGGTCATGGGAAAATATATGTGTGTTTATTGATTTTTTTCACTGTCCTTAAACAAATCTTTGTCATACATTTAGTGAGTATCAACGTTCAAGACACTATCATTAGTGATGCTCGTGAAACCTAATACTTAGATGAACTTCCAACTTAGATGAGCTTCATCTTCTACCTCCAAACATAATTTTCCATTTACAACACTCTATTTCTCCACTAAACCAAGCTCGAAAACATCACTTCTTCCATAAATAAAACTCGAAAACATCATTTCTTTTATTAACAAATTTCAAAACTCCATCACCTTTTCTCCAACTTGAACAAGACAAGGAAAACATAGATTCAAGTTAGCAATGTTAGTTGTTATTATTCTTGTTGTTGTTGTTGTTGTTGTTGTTGTTATTGTTGTTGTTATTGTTGTTGTTCTTCTTGTTATTCTTCTTGTTGTTATTTTTGTTGTTGTTATTATTATTTTTCTTCTTCTTCTTTTTCTTCTTCTTGCTATTGTTGTTGTTATTCTTGTAGTTCTTGTTGTTCTTATTGTTCTTATTATTGTTCTTGTTGTTCTAACTATTATTCTTATTGTTGTTCTACTACTGCATTTTTTTATTTTATTGAAATACATACAACAACGGTTGTTTAAAGTAACAATTGTAATAGATTGAAACATACAACAACGGTTGTTTAAATTAACCGTTGTGAAAAGTTGTGTGCTATTTGACTTATAATCACGATCGCACGACTGTGGTGGAAAGAACTATACATATAATCACGTCTTACCACACAACGGTTGGTCGGACGTGGTTGTATCCCATTTTCAACCGTTATAATAGGTGTTTTCCATAGTAGTGCTAGGACTTCTTTCAAATGAGGTTATATATCATGTACATGTCACCCCCACGTTTCTCATTATGGCGAGCCACCTATTGAGTAAGGGTTACGTTTGGGTAGAATATTCTTGGACGGACGCCTGATGAGGTTTGCCCATGTGTCACCCTATTATGAGTCTTTACAAATATATCACTACACAATTCTCAAGCACGAGAACTTGTAAAGGGAGAAGTGATTAAGCTCTTTATCCTCATAGCTTTATGCCTTTTATTCCCCTTAGGTGAGATCAATATTTAGGGGTAAGTCCCTTAATAAAAAATGAGTGCCTCAATTAGGGGTGAGTCTCTCAATCAGGGGTGAGTCCCTCAGTTAGGGGCAGTCCGTTAATCAAGGACGAGTTCTTCAATTAGGGTGAGTCCCCCAACTAATCAGTGAGTCATAATTTTCATTTCATGTGTCTCTTGTGCAACTTGTATGCCATTTGAGGGATATCAAACATCAGTCAAGTGATTTTTGGGAGATGTCAAAACACTAGTCAGTTATGAAAGTGTGATTGTTTAGTGGGAAATATGGGTGTGTGCCATTTAATGTTGCTCATGATGGTTTTTCTAGGTAAGCCCAATCTAGTTTCTTTCATTACATGTGTTATTGACGTGTGTAACCCCTTTCACTTTTGGCAACAGTTACACTATTAGGCAAGTATGTTACTTACGATATTGGTTTTTTCCTATAAAGGGTCATAGTTTTCTTTTTAAAAAGACATTTTCCTCTCCCTTCCACTTCAGCATTTTTGCTTTGCTTAACCAGAGAAAATTCATAAGTGTGGTGGTGCTTCTTTAAGCTCGGATAGGAGAGGAAGAGAATACGAAGTTTATTAGTCTCTCAGGATCGCACACTACGTCTTTATAACCTCTTCCATCTCATCAGAAATTGATGGCCAAGAAGAAAGCTAAGTGTGTCCATGTTCGAGAAATTGTATCCCTCTATTATAATTCTGACATGATCGCGAGGTTCTGTTAAGATATTGGGTTCTCGAGTACGTGGCACAAAATGGACTTAATCTTGGAGCCTTGTTTAGAAATGGAAATAGCCAATATGTCTACCTCGGGTGGTTCATCCGCCCTCTTATTTTTACTTTCATCTCCTTGTTATTCATGAATTAGGGGTTCTAATACCCTTTATGCTTTTTGAAACAAACTTCCTGGAAACCATTAATGTGGCCCCTTCCCATATCACACCCAACGTATGGATCATCATCAGGGCCTTTGAGATCATATGTTGTCATCTTGGCGTCCTCCCCACTGTTGGGATATTCCTTTCTTTTTATGGGGTGGAGTTCCTTCCCGTTTTTTATTAGGTAATTCTATGCTCTTTATCTGGTAGGCGTTTGTTGGAACCTTACGTGGAGCCTTATGAGAATTGGAAATATAGATTCATGCGGGTAAAAGGGCGAAACGACACGTCCATGGTAACCACAAAGGCGGCATTTGACTTTCTCATTCCTCTATCGTGCACAACAAATGCTTAACTCATGAAAGGAATAGAATCCAATGCCTATTCCCTTGAGAGAGAGAGAGAGAGAGAGAGAGAGAGAGAGAGAGAGAGAGAGAGAGAGAGAGAGAGAGGTGGGCTAAGTTTTAAGATGCTTCAAACTTATGAGCTCTTGTATTATGATCACCCTGGACCAAAAAGATGGGGTGGGTATAAAAATATTTAGGCAACCTTTATGGTATGAAAGGAACCTTCTGACTTAATCACTTCCTTACGACTTTATATATTTTAACATCGTTTTGCAAGGTATACGTCTGAAATCTTGCTCGGCAAGAGGAGACGTCTCGTAATGGAAATGTATTTACACGGTCATCTAATGAAAACATATCAATCTGTTATATTATACAAATAATTTAAACATTTTAATCTGATTTAACCGAATATTTGATCGTCATTGATTAACCGTATAAAATTAATTTACACTAACAATACATCATCTATTTTCTCCTATTAAATATTCAAATGAGATTATAGGACACGAGACTAACAGGATAAAAAGAACCAAAAAAATGAAACTTAAATGACCAGGTAATATAGTTAATAGTCGAAAGGGCAATTATAATTTACGTTATCTCTATTGTTATTGCTATCTTATCGAAGTGATGATGACTTATCCTCAAATAAAAAGACCTAGATATCATTCCCTTAAAAAAAACCTTTGTGCGATCAAAATCAAAACCGTTAATAACATATTATAAATTCAATTTCCAAATAAAATATTGAACACCATGTAACCGACTTATAGAAAAATAAACAGACAAGAATACTAGTGATGATGGTCTATTTGATCCTTTATGGAGAGTTGTTGGCCAAATCAAGTCTTGTGGTTGCCCAAGACTCATCCCATCTATTCATTTTTGTCAACAACTTGAGTGTATCAAAGATTATGGGCACTCTTTTTTCCTCATAAGGGTCACGCCAATCTTAAATACCATCTCTTTACATTATCTCAAATTTTATAATCAATCACAATCACGAGACATTAAAAATACTAGTGAAAATTTCATAAGAAAAAGTACTAGTGAAAATTAATCTTTCAGCCATATACATTGTTTATGTACAAGTTACTTTCTGAAACAAATATTAGATTTATAACACTCTTTTCAGCCTCCTCCGATAAGCTTTTTTTTACCAGGGTGGCACATATTTCAAATACTTATAATTAGTAAAAATTTACAATTCCAAACAGAGGCTAACATCTAATATCTCACTCTCTCAAACTTAAACTTGGTCATTGCAAAATTTTCCACCCATTCTATTCTGAACTGCTTTCACTGCTGCAACTCTAGCAGCAACCGCGGCCCTGTTCGCGGCGGTAACTGCTTTGTTCACTTGTTCATCATTCCGGAGAAGGTTTACAGCATTTTCTGCTGTTCTCCTAGCAGCCTGCAAATTAACCCCCAAAATTACAACATCAATGAATGAGAAAAATACAATTAATGGTAAGCTTTCATTGGGAGAGAAGGCAACATTAGTGAATGTTAAGGACAAATACCTGAACTGATGTAAGAACAGCATGAGTATGTGGTGGTAGAGATTGTCTGAGGATGCCACCATCCCATTCACCAAGTTTTCGGTCTCCATTTCGAAAACTATAAACACCATAACCTTGCCTACGACCTTCATGCCATGCTCCTTCATAACAATGTCCATTCGCAAAATGGTAGACCCCAAATCCATGGATTTTGTCTCCAAAATACTCCCCAGTATATTTATCTCCATTTCTACATTAAAATGTAACAGAATGAGCTTATTTAGAACCTATTACTATAGTCAACTGTCATTAACATGGTCTAGATAAAGATAATGCTTTCCTGTTTAACTTGTCAAACAATCAATAGTTGAATTGAACAAGAAACATGAAATAAATATTAACACTAGTAACAAAATTTGACCATCAATTTTGAGGACTTTCAATACATGACATATTCTATTAACAGACACAATATAAAAGGAAGAAAAGTTCCAAAATTAACAAAAAGATTCAAAAATTGAAACCAAAAGATCATAAATAGTAAAAAAAAAATGAAAAATTAAAAAAGAAAACTACATAACAAGAGAAACAGAAACTTACCTAAATTGGTAACATCCAAGTCCATGTTTGACACCAAACTTAAACTCACCAACATAACAACTACCATCGGAACAAGATTGAACACCGAAACCATGACTCTGTCCATTGCACCATTCTCCAGAATAAGAATCACCAGTATAGAATCTATAAACTCCATAACCATGTCTCAAACCTTGTCTATAACAACCCTTATAACGACTTCCCCTAGCCCAGCTCTCAAATCCATAACCATCATACTTTCCATCAACCCAATCACCTTCATATCTTCCACTCCCAAAATAATGATAAACTCCACTTCCATTACACTTTCCTCCATGAAACTCTCCTTCGTAAAAATCACCATTGCTATAACACTCCACACCCTCTTTCCTTGTTCCATTCTCCTTCACTTTCACCTTCTCCTTATCCGCAGAACCGGTTTCACCGATGAACCACTGAACCGGTTTTTCACTTCCTCTGGAACTAAACCCGAGTCGTTTTAAATTCCCGTCCCATGAATGTTTCAAAACCGAAAAGCTTCTATGAATCACGCGTTTGTTCCTGTTTACCAAGTAAAGCGCTACAGCCACGAATATTAGAATCAGCAACACGTTCTCGGAAGTGGGACCCACTGAACCAATATAGAAAAAATAGAAAACGTAGAAGAAGAGTGAACACCCGCTGAAAAAACCTAGAATCGGAGCAGCAACGAACCGGATCGAACCCGAACCTGAACCGGAACCGGAACTGAACCGGCGCTTCTTATTCTTTTTAGTTCCGTTTTTCTTCTTCTTATCGAGTTTCTCTACATCGTAAAACTCGTCTTCGTTTACAGAACCGAGGCTATGAATGGAGGATCGGTTGGTCGGAGAAGAACACCGAAGCAGCGAGGATTTGGTTCGGGTGAGCTTGCTCTGGCTATTCGTATTCTGAGTTTCCATCTTTAGTGGGACCCACCAGATTCAATCTCCACTGTACGATTTACTCTTCTTTTTCTTACCCGCTTCACTTAACCTATACTTTACCCCACCTATATCGCGAGATTCTCACCACCACGGTTTTTATTACCGGTTGCGCCGGTAACATCTCAGGCTACACGGTGGTAGACAGTAAGAGAGGTTTCAAAATCACCGGTAACTAAACTTTACTTTTTTTCGCCGGCTTAAAAAAAACAGAAGAAAGTAAGATTACTCGGAAGGTTATTGTTTTCTTCGTTGGTATTTTTGAGGAAGAAAAATAATTAAAAAGCAAAACCGGTGAGTTTCGCAGTTTACGATGATGCGCCTTTGGTTTTTAAGCTTGGTTGTGTTGTTGTGTGTAAGAAATATTATTATATACGAAGCGATGAGAAATGAAAAAGTTCAAGTGGAATTAAATATGAACCGTTGGATTTAGATCAAACAGTAGATATAGATTATAAATTTATGACCGTCCGATTATGGAGAAGAGGTCGTGATGTTGACGGGAAGATATATATGGATCATCATATTTTCATTTATCCATACTTATTTATTAATCAAATAATATTTATTTATTTTTTTATTTTTATTTTTTTTTAGGAAAATTAGTACTACCTTCGTGAACACCGTCATCATATGATAATGGTGATGACTATACATTTATGAATTTTTTTGGAGAAAGCCTTATAAGGAAGGGGATTTTAATATGAATCTTATTTTGGTGATTTGGTGATGAATTTGCATGAGTTGGAACCTTGCTGGCTTTCATGAATTAAGACGATATACCATGGGAAACGGCAAACATTCTTCTTAGGTGAAATTCTTCTAGTCTTTCTTTGTTTTGATACTCAGGGTCGGTTTTCTACTTCCACTAATGGTAATTAGAATTTTCTTGATGATTCATAAAAAGTAATTATTTATTACACGCGTCATGGAGTTAAATAACGGATATTAAATTGTGGTATTTATATTTTTTTAAATACTGTATACGTATATTTATTAATTGTTACTTTGCTTAATGCAAATATGGTGTTATTTAAAAAAGAAAACAAATACTGCAATGTACATCTAAAATACGTGGATTTAATGTACATTTACCTTACAGATTAGTCAAGGCCCATCTGAGGTGTGTTCAAAATAGAGCATTTAACTTGCCCTTCTATTTATATATGTAATTTCACATTTACAGCAGTTTAAATACCGATATGTTTAAAATATGCCAGATTTTATTGAAAATTTAGAGTATTTATTGAAAAATTTTGAACCAAAGGAAACTTATTGGCAGTTTAAAATTTTAGTTATTAATATATCAGAACTTTTGAAATTTTCGAAATTTTCGATAAACACATGTGTTTTTGCCAAAAATTATGAAATTTTTCGTATTTATCACAATTTTGAAAATACAAAATTTCTGGTATACAGTGTTGAAAGCTGTTAAATTCTGTTTTGGAAATTTAACAGTTTTGTCCACTTTAGTTGGTTTTGTTTGTTTTTGATTACTCTCTCATGTGTATATATACATTGTTGTAATCCCAATTCATAGTTAATGTCAATTTAGTGATTCATCCAATATTACTCTCTTTCCTATTCTCTCTTTCTCTCTCAATCTCATCTTCTTCCCCAAGTTTCTTTTCACCATTGTTACTACCTTCAAAATTCTGGTTTTATGTTTTATGTTGTTCTAACATTTGGCATCAAGAGCTCCGGTTATTGATCCTAATCCGCTGCAACAATGGCTACCGTTTCTAATGATCAAATTCCCACCAATCTCCCAATTCTTGATTCGAAGAACTACGACAAATGGGCGAAACAAATGAAGGTTCTGTTTGGTTATCAATAGGTTCTTGAGATCGTCATCAATGGAGTTACACCGTTAGGGGAAGATGCTACCGAATCTATTAGGGCTACACACAAGGAAGAAAAGAAGAAGAATTACAAAGCCCTATTCTTGATTCACTCTTGTGTTGATAACGACAATTTCGAGAAGGTTGGCGATTGTGAATCCGCGAAGCAAGCATGGGAAATCTTGGAGAAAACATATGTCGGTGCCGTCAAAGCGAAGGTGGTAAGGTTACACACTTACAAACGTCAATTCGAGCTAACGCAAATGGAGGACAAAGAAACGATCAACGATTACATTACGCGCATTACCCGGTTAGTTAATCAAATCAAGTCATGTGGCGAAATGATTCTTGAGCAGAATGTTGTATCGAAAGTGTTGCGTTCGTTAACATCACGGTTCGATAACATTGTTGTGGCTATTGAAGAGTCAAAGGATCTAACAACTTTGAGCAAAGATGAGTTGCAAAGTTCGTTAGAAGCGCATGAACAAAGGATGGATGAGAGAGGTGCCGTCAAAGCCAAAGCGGAGATCGCTTTGCAAGCACGTTTACATGAGAAGAACAAGAGAACAAAAGGGAAATGGTCTTCAAAGAGTAAGAAGAATTTTGATGGAAAAGATCCACAAAATTCGAAGGGTGAAGGAAGCTCCAAAGAGGGTAATCAAAGCGCCTACAAACCGTTTGACAAAAGTTCTGTGAAGTGTTATAATTGTCAAAAGCTTGGGCATTTTGCGAAAGAATGTCGCTCAAAACGCAAAGAAAAAGATGCGGATGAGGCTAAGGTTGCTAGGGAAGAGGTAGATGATGAAGATACCCTTCTTGTGATGATTACGGAGGAGAATTATGGCATTGTTGATGCTCCGAGCAGCAGCTACTGTGGTGATAGTTTGCGGGACAGCAGCTGTACTATTTTAGAAAGTAGTGGGAAAATGCGCTCGGATCGAAATGCATTACTTACCATGCGTGATGGAGTTCAAAGTAAAGATGAACGGTACTTGGATTCCGGTTGTTCAACACATATGACGGGTCGGAAGGATTGGTTTGTGGAAATCAATCAAGCGGCAAAGAGTAAAGTCAAGTTTGCCGACGACACCACTTTAAGCGTCGAAGGGGTAGGAGATGTTTTGATCGCAAGGAAGAATGGTGGACATTCAAGGATCAAAGATGTCTTGTACATACCGGGAATTAAGTGCAATCTTTTGAGCATTGGCCAATTACTTGAAAGAGGGTACTTAATTCGGTTGGAGAACAAGATGTTACGCGTTTTAGATTCAAGTGGTGTGTTGATTCTAAAAGCGCCGATGGCTACCAATAGAACTTTTAAGGTTGAGTTAAAGGTTATGGAGCATCGTTGTTTAGATACCGCGACAAGTAGAGATGAGTGGTTATGGCATTACCGTCTTGGTCACCTAAATTTTAGGGATCTCAAAATGTTGCAACAAAGTGAAATGGTAACGGGGCTACCACATATTAGTGTTCCGACAGAATTGTGTGAGGAATGTGTGAAGAGTAAGCAACACAAGAATGTGTTTAACAAGGATGCGGGTCGAAGAACCAAATGCTTACTTGAGGTGGTGTATTCTGATGTTTGTGGACCGATGCAAGTAGAGACTTATGGCGGCAATCGATATTTTGTTACGTTTATTGACGACTTTAGTAGGAAGCTTTGGACATGTCTTATCAAGAGGAAGGACGAGGTATTTGGAGTGTTCAAGAGTTTCAAATCCATGGTGGAGCGTCAAAGCGGTCGGAAGCTCAAAATTCTCAAAACGAATGGTGGAGGTGAATATACCTCTAGTGAGTTTGGGAAGTTTTGTGATCTTGAGGGTATTGTGCGTGAGGTGGTGCCTCCATATACGCCTCAACAAAACGGAGCTGCCGAGAGGGAAAATCGTACAATAATGAACATGGTGCATAGTATGCTTTGTGGGAAGAAGTTGCCTAAGGAATTGTGGGGTGAGGCCGTGTCTACAGCCACCTACTTGTTGAATAGGTGTCCTACTAAGAAGCTGGAGAAGATCACACCATAAGAGGTTTGGAGTGGTTTCAAACCGAGTGTGAATCATTTGCGCGTTTTTGGATCGATTGCATATTGTCATGTACCGAATCAACTTAGAAAGAAGTTGGATGATAAATGTGAGAAGTTGATATTTGTTGGATATCACTCTACTGGAGGTTACAAGCTATTTGATGAGAAGAATCAGAAAATCGTGATAACCCGGGATGTAGTTTTTGAAGAAATAAAAGCTGCTGAAACAGCAGGACAGCAGCAGTAGTTCTTCGAGTTGTCTGATCCGGAGGGTTCTGATGCCGCTGTACCTGCACCTACAGTAGCGGAAAGTGTTGTAGTGAATAATGGTAGACCAGTGAGGCAAAGAGCCTTGCCTCATAGACTCCGAGACTACGAGAGGTTTCAAGATAACAAAGTGAATAATGATGGTGATTTTGTTTATTTCACGCTTATGGCAGAATCTAAACCGGTAAATGAGGAGGAAGCCTTAAGCGATCCTAAATGGATATGTGCAATGAAAGAGGAGCTGGAATCTATTGAGAAAAATGGTACTTGGGAGTTGGTCGATTTACCACTCGGAAAGAAACCGATAGGTGTGCGATGGGTCTATAAAGTTAAAGCAAATCCTAAAGGTGAAGTAATCAAGCACAAAGCTCGATTAGTGGAAAAAGGGTTCTTGCAACGTGAAGGTATAGATTACGAGGAGGTATTCACACCGGTGGCTAGATTGGAGACTATTCGTTTGGTTGTTGGGATTGCGCATAGCAACAATTGGGTGATTTATCAAATGGATGTAAAATCTGTGTTTTTGAATGGTCCTCTTGATGAGGAGGTTTATGTGGGGAAGCCACCCGGTTTCGTGAGCAAAAATCAAGAGAGGAAGTACTACAAGCTACACAAAGCGTTGTACGGTTTGAAACAAGCTCCAAGAGCTTGGAACAAACGTATAGACGTCTTTCTTATTGACATCGGTTTCAAACCATGTGTATCCGAACATGGTGTTTATGTGAGATCGGATAATATCGATGGTGTTATTATACTATGCTTGTATGTTGATGATCTCTTGATTACGGGCAGCAATGACAAGAGTATTTCAAGGTTCAAAGGGGAGCTCATGAGTGAGTTTGAGA